GCCTACGTAATTTTTAACGTACGTACTTACGTACGTTGTTATCTTAATACGAGAAACGGTTCATCAAGCGGTTTTATCTTACAGGGTTAGACGCTCCACTGCCAACGATGCACCTCCTCTACGGCACAATTCAAACTGGCACTGCGTGAACGCGGCTCAGTTTAAATTCTGCCATTACGACGGTGAAGCGCCCCAATCGCGGTCGCGCGCTCCAATCGAGCGATCCGATCGCGGCGCGAAGTCTGAACGCGGTCTTTGTACGTAGAGACACAGCTAATCCATATTTAACTGGTTCGTTTTAGCGACCACACCCGCTGAAAGGGAACGCATCATTCTGCCAGAAGGCGTAACCGAAAGAGAAAGTCTTCTTCATTGCGATATGATTATTAGAGGGTTCCCGCCGAGCGTGTTCTTCGGAAGTGGATTCGGACACAAGTATGAATCGTTTCCTTTAGGTTTTATTTGCTAATCTAGCATTCTCTTTACAGACCCAGCCTTGCAAGGGCAGCTGCAGCAAAGGACCTCGTAGACAAGTGCTTACGAATCGGATTGATTTCAGAAGATCTACACACTTCTATTGCGAATCATCCATTCTTCAAGAAAGTAAGGTTGTTTTGTTATTATTAGCGTCACAATTTTAGAGTTCAGGGTCGCTGGTGATAAAAGTTTTCGAGGCCTTCCAAGATTCCTCAGAATCCTTTGTTTTACTGAGTTTTTAATATTTCGAACGAGTTTGTTCAGCGAGAACTTCCACGAAAAGACTACAATTTGGCCATGGATGCGCTTGCTAATGTGGATCAGAAACTCTCTATAGGTACGTTGAGATACTGTTCATTGCATGAGTGATCCTTTATCCAAGCTTTGTGCCCTTTCAAAACCTAGCAGCTGACTACCATTTCTACTTATTTTGAATTGAAAAGCATATATTAGGTCATCCCATTCAAAAGTGCCGTCGGTTTTATTCGAATAAAACAAAGAGGAGAATAGATAAAAAAGTAATATTTTGGCTTCAAGTTAAGTAAATCCCTCCTTCACCAATGACCCGCTCCCAGTGCCCCGAAAGCCTTTGGACCTCTGGTACCTTCGATTTTTCAACAAGTGCGAGTAAATTGCTGTTGATGCCAATTTTATTCTTATGATATAACCGCCTT